TTATTGTTTAAGTCAATTTAACTTGAGGCTTCTGTGACTTGCAACCTGGGGCATCACAATTCCCAACTGATATTACTGTTTTAGAGCTTTAAAAAAAAATTAACACCATAACTGTGAACACTCTCTATGTCATTCAACACTATGCTGCATCATTTTAAACAATTGCTTGATTCTTCTTTGCGACCCTATGGACTATATAGCCCATGGAATTCTCCAGGCCAGAATAGTGGAGTGGGTAGCCTTTCCCTTCTCCAGGGGATCTTCCCAACCCAGGGATCGAACCCAGGTCTCCTGCACTGCAGGCGGATTCTTTACCAGCTGAGCCACCAAGGAAGCCCAAGAATACTGGAGTGGGTAGCCTCTCCCTTCTCCAGGGGATCTTCCCTGCATTGAACCAGGGGCTCCTGCATTGCAGGCAGATTCTTTACCAACTGAGCTATCAGGGAAGCCCAACCTAAGGAAGTACCAGCATGTACTTAACTCATTCCCTGCTGTGACATGCTTCTGTCCTATTTCCAGTTTTTCGCCATTGTAAACAGTGTCTTGGTAAACATCTTAATCTCACCATTGATTCCCTCTCTCAAGATTACTTTGGGTCAAATTCTGAGGAGTGTAATACTGGGTAGAAGAAATATTTTTAGGGTTTTGATTTAATGTGTCAAGTTGCCTTTCAGAAAGCTTGGATGGATTCCCACTTCCACAGCAGTAAACAGAGTGTTAGACATAGCCTATCATTTCAATAATCTGGATAGAACCAAAGTATATTTACTGTGTCCTCATGTATTTATAGATAATGAATATTAAATAACAGCCCTAAGCCTATTATATCTTCACAATCAAGTCAGTGAATGGGAGGTAATAGGATATGAACAAAGGGCTCTAGGCAGACCTGACTTATCCATGAGGTTCCGTGTCTACGGCCCATCATACTTTGAAGGGCCCACAAAAATGTTGTAATTTTTTTTAATCAGAAGAAGAAAAAAATGAATAAATAATAATGAACCTAGCCTGGGTTATATTCATTTCTTTTAAAATCAAAGCAGCTGTAAAATTCAATGTAAAAAATATTTATCTAGCTGCATCACATGGCATCTTCCTTGCAATCACGTGGGAACTTTCCTTGGGGCAGCAGGCTCTCTACTGGCACATGGGTTTAGTTGTCAGGATTGAACTTGCGCTATCTTTAATTACAAGGCAGATTCTTAACCAGTGGACCACCAGGGAAGTCCCTCCAATTTCTAATATAAGTTATTTTAATAAAGGAAGGAGCCCAGGAAGGCAAAACTACCTAGCGTCCATGAAAGCCATAACGCAGCCTTGGCTGGATGTTGAGGAGAATTCTGAGCCCCAGTCCAGATTCGGTGCAAAAAAAGCATTGCGACCAGTGTGCAATGCCTGCCTCGGGCTTGAAGAGGGGAAGTCACATCCTGATCTAGTCGTCTTTGTCTTGGTGACAGGAATACGGGAATGTTTTGGGTTGAAATCCCAGATCTACAACTTATCATTTTACCTTTCCGAGCCTGTTTCCTAACTTGTAGAAAGGAGATCATGAGGCCTTTCTGAGGTGCGGTGCCAGGTACTGTTCTAAAGAGCTCTCTCATGTGTATTAACCCTTTTATCCTCCCAGCTCCGACGTAATAGTCCCATCGCCATAACGTTTGCTCAGGAAATTGAAATCCAGATCGGAATCTCCTCTAGAGAACTAAAAAAAAAAACCCAAAAAACAAAAACCCAAGAACACAAACAAGGATTCCCCAGGCCTTAGCTTCCCCATCTTCAAGTCGGGCGTCTGACCCAGAAACTCCGGTGCCCGTGCGCATTCCGACTGCGCCCTCTGCCGGCGTGCGGGAGCACTGTCTGGACGCGTCCATTCGGAGCATCCATCCTGTCGGTCAGCAGAGGGAGGGTGGACACAGTCGGGACTGGGAAAGTAAAGGGCTGGGGGCCAGAGAGGAGCCCAAACCCCGCCGGGAGCGCGCGGGCGGCCCCCACGCAGGTCCTGGGCGGAGACCGAGAGCAGGAGGCGTGGTCCCTAACGGGGCGGGACCTCCAGCGGGGACCCGGCCAGCTCTCAGGGCCAGACGTGGCGCAGTGGCCGGGCGGTTCACCTCCAGCTTGCGGATCATCTTCGGCCGGGTTTCAATGCACCTCCCGCTGCCTCCGCCGACCCTGCTGCTCCTCCTCGCGGCAGTCGCGGCTGCCACCACCACCTTCCGGCCCGACTGGAACCGTCTACAAGGCCTGGCCCGAGCCCGGGTAGAGGTGAGTGCGGCGGCCCCCAGCCTAGGGACCAGCGCCCCTAAACCCCGTGACTCCTTAGCTTTGCAATCACTGCCCGTTCTGGCACAGGACTTTCCTGACTCCCTCGTTCCCCTCGGAGCCGGGACTGTCCCTCCCACTTCCCAGACCCAGAACGCCCCAGCACCCACTGTGGAAGCCCCAGACACCCGATCTTACGGCCTGAAAATCTGAACCCCTCCCTAGCGCCCCGTCTGGCCGGACAACGGGCCCCAGACACACTGGCTCTGTCCCCTAAATTCTGGCTAGTGACTCTCCCAAATCTGCCCTCTGGAGCCCAACTTCCCATCCCCTCCCCCCTCTTTTTTCCTGGAATTCATCCCCACCCCAGTTCCGGTTGGTCTCTCTCCCTTTCCCTGGAGGGGAGAGATGACCTTCTGGGAGCTTCCCTGCCGCGGGGCAGGGGCTGGGAACTGCCTCACTGCCTTACCAACACTTGTTCCTCAGGAATCCCTCCACCCTCCCCTGCCAGGGAGTGCCCCGCCAAAGTCCCTGTCTGGTTGTGTGACTGGATCGTCATAGACCCTCTCTGGGCTTTGGGTTTCTCCCTGAAAAACAAGTAGGGAGGCGGTGGGGGGGTGGGGGGGAGGAGAAAGAAGGACTGAGGAGGACAAGAATGGTAGTCCTAGGGTCTGGACGCCCACTGGGAGCTAGCTCCCCTTCAGGGAGGGGCCCCTTGGGGAAGCAACCAGATGGTCTGTAGGGCTAGGCCACAGGTGGCAGGGAGGGCCAGCTCCACGTGGGTTGAGGTAGGGACCAGATGGTAGGCGTCTCTAATGGGGCCTCCCAGGGAAGTTCTGAGATGTTTCCTTCTGATTGGCCTCCACCCTGAGGTTCTTGGGGCCACAAGCCAGGCCCAGGTCTCTACTGCCTGAGGGGAGTAGGGTGATCATTTCTCTTGGGCATTGGGGGTGGGTCAGCCTGGAGCTAGTGGTAAATAATCTGCCTGCCAATGCAGGAGACGCAAGAGATGAGGGTTCCATCCCTGGGTTGGGAGGATCCCCTGGAGAAGGGAATCACAACCCACTCCAGTATTCTTGCCTGGAGAATCCTATGGACAGAGGAGCCTGGCGGGCTACAGTCCACAGGGTTGCAAAGAGTCGGACTGGACTGAAGTGCCTTTAGCACACAGGCACAGCCATCAGTAAGATGTGCAGGCAAGAGCTCCGAGGCTGGTAAGTGCCCTTCAGGCCTCTGGCTTTGCTCCTCTTGTCCTCTGGTGTGGTTAGACCTCAGCTTCCCTCTCTGAACAGTTTCCCTTCTGCCTCCATCTCCACATCTTGTGAACCTCTGTTCCAGGGAGTAATCCACAGCCTGACCCAGCCCAGCTGGGGGATGAGGGTAAAATGGGGGTGAGGGTAGATGTGAGAGGCTCCTGACCGATCCCATTTTGTTCCCCTCCAGACATGTGGAGGATGACAGCTTAATCGCCTGAAGGAGGTGAGTTTGAAGGAAGGGGTCCCCAGCTTTGTCCTCCCTGAGCCTCCTGAGAGGTGGGCAGCATAGTCCCAGTGACTGGATGGGGGAGAGTCCCTGGGCTGGGAGTCAGGAGCCTGCACCTGACTTGCTGCCTGACACTGGGCTTCAGTGTTGGTACCTGGAGGGGGTTGGGGCCTGCTGCTCTGGTTCCTCCGCAGGTGAAGGCCTTCGTCACCCAGGACATCCCACTCTAGTATCCTCCTTCTGTTCTGGGGGAGGGAGGAGAGGGAGGGGATCTTCGAGAATTTCCTTCCACTTGACTTCACCGAGAGAGATGAATGGTTTTCATCTGACAAGTGGGGCTGATTGAGAGTGAGCTGCCCCGCGAATTCCGAGGTGGTCTTGGTTTGGCAAAAGAAAATTATTAGGTATGACCGGCGCAAACCCAAGAACAGAGAGGAGGCCGCTTTCTTTGAACCCTAATTTCCTCACGTGAAAGTGAGGATCCCTGCCCCACCCGGGCAGACCAAGTAGTGTCCACATCGACAAGGCCCCTGGGAGACCCCAGCTGCCTCTGCCCACCACTATCCGCCTTAACACAGTCTGCAGCCACAACCTGGTGATGAAACACCTGCCGGGGGCCGACCCAGAGCTCGTGTTGCTGGGCCACCGCTTCGAGGAACTGGAGGTGAGGCCTGGGGAGGCGGGCCGGGGGGTAGGGGTGGGAGGCGGGGCCCGGCGCCCTGACCCCGCCCCTCTTCGGCTTCAGCGAATTCCACTCAGCGACATGACCCGCGAGGAGATCAACGCGCTGGTGCAGGAGCTCGGCTTCTACCGCAAGGCGTCGCCCGATGAGCCTGTGCCCCCGGAGTACCTTCGGGCGCCCGCTAGGCCCGCCGGAGGCGCTCCTGACCACGCAGACCTGTAGGTCTGGGAGCGCCGCACTCCGCCACCCCCCCGTCTGAGCCCTGGGGACCGAATGAAGCGCTCAGCGGCCCGGGAGCACCTCCCTCGTTGAGGGCCGACGCACCGTCCCCGAGCCAGCACGGATGGAACTGGGGGGGTCCCTCCTAACCCCTCTCTCTTCCCTCCCCAACTCCACTAAATCCCCTTTCGCCTTAACTGAGACTCGATTCTTTCTTTGCTGCGGCGGGGGAGGAATAAGAGCTCCCCGAATACCCTCTGGGAGACCCCGCATTCCCAGCTGCCTGAGTAGGGACGTGGGCATACCTTGCCCGGCCGCCCTCCAACCAACCCTCGAAGGGAGGCAGAGAGAAATCTGGGCCGTTGAAAACCAATAATTTATCAAAACGCTGCGTGTTTGCGTGGGAAGGTGCCGCGACAGACAAGGCAGCGGTGGGCAGGCGCACAGGGAGGGGACGGTGCCTGGATGGTGGGCGCTGCTTGCCGCGGGCGGCCGTGCGGGCGGCGGCGGGGAAGCTAGACATTCTTGCCGCGCAGACGCAGCTCGTGGCGCCGCAGGTGGTTGTAGAGCGATTGCACGTAGGTGAAAACGCACTTGGGGTCGGGCTTCTTGCCCATGATCATCATGTCCTCCACCTCCACCAGGGGTACGCAGTCCACCAGCATCCTGCCGGGAGGGGGCACAGGAGTGTTTGTCAGCGCTGGCCCCACCTCCTGCGGCAACCCCTCTACTCGAAGGTCTTTCCAGTGCTGCAGCCTGCGGGTCTTCCATAAATTCGACTCCTGATCAATTGAATGGGGGAAAAGCCTTCTAGGAAGGCGGAAACCCCAGTCCCCACCCACCCACCCACGCCTGGAGGCACCCTGGTAGGGAGCAAGGCCAGGCAAATGGAGGCGAAAGAGGAGATCCCTGCCCCATCTCCAATGTCCAGGCCCAAGGACCTACTGCAGGGTTGCGGTCTCAACCCCTAACCCTGGGGAGGTCCTGACTTCAGGACCTTATCTCTGGCGGGCCGCCTCCTTCTCACTCTCAAAGGTACACTCTAGTTGGCAAAGCCTTTCAGGTGGACCGTGGTACCTAAAGGGCTGCAAATCCTTCTCTGCATCCAGGACCACTCCAGTGACCTTCTGAACCCTGGATTATCTGCCAGCTCCCTGGCCTGGGATCTCCTGTAGAGCAGCTTGGGAACCCCCATCTGCCTCAAGGGACATCCCTGTTGTGTGAGACGGAGGCCAGGGAGGTGTATGTGTGTGTGGGAGGCAGTTCTTTAACAGGGGGGCGCAGATGAGTGTCCCAGTCAGTACGCACTGGACCATTAGCATCACACTAGGGGCTAGGACACCCTGCTGACCATCCTCCAGGGTGAGGTGGTCATCCTCCAGGTGACCCTCCTGGGGCTTCCCAACCCAGGGGTTGAACCCAGGTCTCCCTCATTGCCAGTGGGTTCTTTACCAGCTGAACCACCAGGGAAGCCCAAGAATACTGGAGTGGGTAGCCTATCCCTTCTCCAGCGGATCTTTCTGACCAAGGAATCGAACCAGGGTCTCCTGCATTGCAGGCTAATTCTTTACCAGTTGAGCTACCAGGGAAGCTCACAGAACAGTCATTCGTTTCCAGCTCCGCAGCTTAGTAGGTGCAGGACTGGGCCTGATGTGATCCAGGCCCCCAGCCCTGGATGTTGGCACCTGCCTGGGGCCCCCTTCCTTCCATATCGCAGGAGCCCTCTCCCCACTCTGAGGGGAGTGGGCTGCAGCTACTAAATAACTGGCAGCCCCAGGGCTCAGAGATAGAGCGTGTTCCCTGGCTCCATTTCCCCTCCCTTCCTGGAGCCAGACCTCTCCTGCCTCTCTCCCATGTGCCACGCCTGGCATACAGTTACAGTTAACACTGTCACTGTTGTGAAGTGAGTTTCCTTTGGCAGGGAGGGCATAAGGAAAGGAATTGTTCCTGTTCCCAAGACACCCAAGGGCCCAGGACTACCTGCCATCTTGTGCCTTCAAGGTCAGACCCTCAAGGTCAAACCATGTAAGGGCCAGGGCCCACTCTCCTCTCTCCAGGACTCCTTCAGGGAAGAAGCCAGGAAAGCAGGGGACCCGTTTCAGTGTAGGCTCTACTCCCGGCCAGCTGTGGAAGCTAGAGCAAACCCTGTCCCATGACTCAGTTTCCCCATCTTTACAGCAACAGCATAGTCATTCTTTGCCTCATCTGAGTCCTTGGAAGCACCGAGAATGAGTGAGAGGTTCCTGACTCTGTTGCTGATGTGCTATGTGCCCTGGGGGTCGTCTCTGCCCCAGACTGGGCCTGTTCCAGCTGTACTGTGGTGAAGAGGCAGCCTTTCTCCGTAGCTTCTACCAGCTGCAGCTATCTCCCCGGGTATCCTGGCCTTTCCCATCGTGGAGCTCCCTCCCACCTCTGGTGTCTTCCCTGGAGACCTTATAAAGCCATTGTTTACACCGGGGCTCACGGCACAGGGCTCTGGCTGCCCCAGTGACAGGCCAAACACCAGGCAATCCGAACAACAGCACGGCTGAGTCACACTTTCCAACTGGAACGGGGCCGGACTGGGCCCCTCTCCCTTCAGGCTGGCCTGCTGGGCAGCAGCTCCTAAGTCCATATATGACCTGGAGACAGCACCATGCCCATCCTCCGCTCACCTGCACGGCTTCTTTGAATCTATGTGTGCACGTGGCGGTGGCCCCTCACAATGGCTCCAGGCCCTGAGGGGCATCTGGGTGCATTGCGAGCTCTGCCCCTGATTCACATTGCTTCAGGCAATCCCTTTCCTCCCTCTGAACCTTTTGTCTTTTCTTCTCTCTACAAAACGGGTGGGAAAAGGGATGGGGCCAGGAAAAGAGCCACAAGGTGGGGAGTTTGGAGTTCCCGTTTCCGGCCCTGGCTCTGACCTACCATCCCCTGGCACACTCCTGGTCTGTAATGGGCAGTAAGCTCAAGATATGCATTCTCTACTGTGGCCCTGATGTGAGGTGACCAGATAGGAAATGCCACGGCTGGTTTGGGGATCCGGGACCTCCACCGGAAACATCTTCCTGTTAAACTGGCCTTGCTCCTGAGCCTCTCACCATGGAGCATGGCACAACCAACCCCCCAGTGCACTAGCTGGAGGCCTGGGACCCTCCCCCTTCTGCAGTGGATCCATCAAAACTCCTATCTCTCTAGTTAAGCTTCTCTAGCTGGTTAGTCCATCCCCTCCCTCCCTGTCCTTCAACCAGGCCTCACCAAGATTGTTCTAAAATGCTACCTACGTCCCTTCTCTGTTTGAAGAACTTTTACAACTCTTGTCTTCAGAAGGAAGCTCAGACTCCTGAATATGACCCCTTCCTCCCCCTCACACCCAGACTAAACAAACATCCTTCCCTGCCTGGGTGTGCCATGCCCTCCACGTCCCTCAACCCCACCCCGGGCACTTGGCTGACCCCTCTGCCCGGGACTTCCTCTCCCTCCTTTAGCCTGAATTTGGTATTCTGATGCCAGCTTAGTGTGCACTTTTTTCAGCGAGCTGTCCTAGACCCCGCTGGATGGGTCGGGTGGCTCCCCGCTGGGATCCCATGGCCTCCTGGGCTTCCTCCAGCTCAGTCCTGCCCATCTTGGTCATCACTGCCTACTGAGAATGGTCTCATCTGCAAGGTATTGAGCAACCAGAAGATCAGGTTGTGTCTGGCTCCTGCTGGCTCTTCTCAGGGCCCCTCTGCTTCCCCCTCAGCCCCGACCTCCCCGGCTTCTCTCTGTGCCCCATCGAGCAGATCCAGCGTAACAGGGCAGGCGAGCAAGGCGGCGTTCCTCACCGTGGGGCCCCGAGCAGAGGTTAGGACTTTTTGGTTTTTACCAGCCCCTTCTGGACCAGACAGCGGTAGAACTCCTGGATGTACGTGTACACGCACTTCCAGTCAGGCTCTCGAAGCCGCACCATGTCCTCTGTGTCCAGGAGCTGCGGGCAATTCACTAATGGTGTGCGATGCAGACAGGGGTGGGGGCCAGATCAGTCACAGGTGCAGAGAACTCTCGGGGCAAGCGGGAGGGAACGGGGGGGGTGGGGGCGATGGCATTGGCGCCGGGGTTGGAGAGGAGGGCTGTGCCCCGGGGAGCGGGGGTGAGGAAGGCGTGAGAGGAGGTGGAGGAGGGGGAGGAGGAAGAAGAAATCTGGGGGGAACCAGAAAGAGAGAGGGAGAGGAGGAGAGACAGGTGGAGGAAGGTGCTGAGGGTGAGGTGCGCAGTTGGGGCAATGATTCCAAAGTGGAGGGCTTGCGGAAGTCCTATATAAGCCTCTGGCAACACCTATATAGGCTGGGCGGGCACGGTGCCCGGGCCAGGAGCCTCCTTTTGGAATCTCCAGCCGGGATCCCGTGGGAGCAGGAAGCTCTGGTGATAGTGGGAGGAAAGCAGGACAGAGAAAGGGCAGAGAGAGAGAGAGAAGGGGGCAGACGGAGGATGGAGGGGATACGGACAGGGCCACCTGGTGGGCCGTGGCCCGGGCTGGTAGGTGGGCCTCTGGCTCCTTCATTCCGGCGGGCACCTGGCACGCTCAGCAGCAGGTGGGTGGGGTGGGAGAGGACGGGGGCTTTCTGGGGGAGGGAGGCCTCAGCTTCTGAATGACAGTGGGCCTGGCCGGCTCCATGGAGCCTCGAAGCGGCTGGGCCTGGCGCAGATCGCCCAGCCCCAGACGCCTGGCCGACACCAGCAAGGTGCCAGCAACCACACTTACTCGGCGGATGAGAAGGCCACCTCGAAGTTCTGACGCCGGTTCTGTGGGCTGAGCTGCCCATAGTCGAAAGCCTCAGGGAAGAAGTTGTGCACCAGGGCACAGAAGGCCATCCCGTCACTCCAACTCGAGGAGAAGTTCTGGATGTCCACATGCTATGGGTGGTGGGAGGACCTGTCAGCGCCCCTATGCCCTCCACCCGCTGGTGTTTTGGCATTCCAGATATAGGGCAGCTGAGCTCAGAGAGGCTCTGGAGCTTGCCCAAGGTTGCACAGTAGGTGGGCAGTGCCTCCTCCCACTGTTTGTTAACTCCTGTATCTGCTACTTAGTGGGCCAGAGTGACCAAGAGGCCCAGCACCACCCAGCTGAGGCCATGGTCATGCCCTCGTCACTCTTTCCCTGGTGTACAGACATTTACCCAGTGCACTGGCAGAGCAATGAGGGCGAAGACTCCAAGAGTGCGGTCTGGTCCTGAACCCTGCCCACCATCCAAGGGCCCTCTCTAGGCCCTGCCACTTTAACCACTTATTCTGGAATCTAGGGGAATCTAGGGCATGTTATGAGGCTTCCCTGGTGGCTCAGATGGTGAAGCATCTGCCTGCAATGCGGGAGACCCAGGTTCAACCCCTGGGTCAGGAAGAGCCTCTGGAGAAGGGAATGGCACCCCGCTTCAGTTTCTTGCCGGGAAAATCCCATGGACAGAGGAGCCTGGAGGGCTACAGTCCACGGGATCACAGAGTCAGACATGATTGAACGCCACACACACACACGGCCTGTTGCGTGTCACAGAAGAGGAATTCCCATCGTCCCTGCCAGACACGGTGGCTGTGAAGGGTACAGCTGCAGCTGGGGGGCATATGCGGGCGGGGAGGCCCTCACTAGGCCACCTGGCCTCCTAGGGCTCACCTCGTAGCCACGCGTCTTGGCTCGGCACCAGTCTAGCAACATCTGCTTGATGCTGTTGGCATTGGGGACCCCGAAGCTGGTGGAGCGCTGCACAGCCGCGCGGGGTCCGCCTGGGCTGCTGCAGGATCCATGTCGGGAGCCAGGTTATAGTGGGCACCTTCTCCGTCCGCCCACCTTTACCTTCATGCCCCGCCCACCAGAGCCCAGACCCCGCCCCGTGTGATCACGAGGCCCCGCCCACCAGAGCCCAGGTCCCGCCCCATGTGGTCACTAGGCCCCGCCCTGCCCACTGCGGCTCACCCTGCTGCGCCTTCCTTCTCCAACTTCTCAATCATAGCCTTGCGCGCCTGGGACGCTGAGGTTTTGGGCAGGCTTTGCGCCTTCATCAGCTCTTTCTTCTTTTCTGCCTGGCGTTTTTCCAGCGCCGCTAGGCTGCCAGACCGTGGGCTGGCCTCATCCTCCCGGTCGAAGATACTGAGGGGTGGGTAAGCGACTGTTAGGGTCCAGGGGAGCCGCTCCTGTGCCTCGACCACGACTCGCCAAGGTCTAGTCACGCTCCAGACCCTACTCTCTTGCGGTATCTCCACCACCGGCAATGCCAGCCAGCAACGGAGGGGCTCCCATCACACGCATTTTACAGAGTAGACTGAGGCTCAAAGGAATAGAAAGTAGGAGCCAAGCTCTTTTCAACAGACTTGGCCCCTGGGGAGTTCTCTTCCAAGGCTCATTATATCCTCAGGTTACAGGTGTGTTCCCATTCCGGGCACTATCAACTAATAATGACCACCAATGTGCTAATAGTAATGGTAACAATAATAACAGCTCGTGTCTCTTGAGCTTTTTCTACGTGTCATTTAAAATTTCACAAGGGTTAGGGTGGGCTTACCACTTCCACTGAAGATGAGGAAATGGAGGCCTGTGGCCTCAGATTTCAGAGGGCACAGGGAGCAGGACCAGTGCAAGGACTTGAACACAGGTCTCTGACGCAGAGTCTCTGGACCCCTGCAGTACCCAGCCTGAATTCTTGACCCTACCTGCCCCAACATCCTCTGTAACATAGGCGTACCCCTCCTCCACGGGGTTAAGATGGAAAGATGCTCTCTGTGACATGGGACATGATCTGTAGACACTGGAAAGTAGCTCAGTGTGCTGGGGAGGCCTCTCTAAGACCCCAAGCAAATCGTTGGCCTCCCCCAATTCTTTGGTGTGGTTGAGAATCACGTGAAATGGCAAGGCAAGCAGGAGTGTTCTGACTCTCACTCTACACCTCTCTGGCTGTGTGCCCAACATCTCCCAACACCGTGCTCTACCCATCTGCAGAATGGGCATGCAGCGAGGTCCCGTGCGGCACTGACTCCCCCATGGTCTGGGAGCAGGTACCTGTGCTCACCTGCCCATCTTCTTGGATGATGAAGAGGAGAAGGTCTTAGTTTGCATCATGGTGCTGCCACCACCATCTGCAAGAGAAGGAAAGGGGAGCACAGTGAGGTCCCGGGCTGGGAGACGGGCGGGAGGCTGGCGGAGGGATGCAGGGAGCCACAGGCAGAGAAGAGAAAGTGACGGCTGGACAGAGAGACACACAGACGAAAGTTCGGAGAGACAGTTCGAGGAAGAGCCTGAGGAGGTGGGCTGGCAGGCAGGCACGTGGAGACGCCCGGTGGCCTTACTCTCTGAGCGCCTCACAAAACTCGACTCCACTGTGGTGGTGCGGGCCGTCCGTGTGCCGTCATCTGCATGGGCAGGGGTGAGAGGAAGGGTGTGAGCGGCGGGGTGGCAGGGCCGTGCGGGGGACGCGATCCCGTGCTGAGCCCGGCTTGGCCCCTTACTGGATTGGACGAGCCGCTCGGTCTTGGTGACTGTGCTGACGGCGGAGCCGTCGGCCGTCTGCTGGCTGTGCCTCGTGGTGGTCTTGGTTGTTGTGTTGCCGCGGCCCTCCCCTGGCCGGGCCCGGGCCTCTTGCAGCCGCCGTTCTCGGTCCTTGTCCCGCTGGTCTGGGTGGGGGATGGTCCCACGCATGCCCCAGAAAGGTCACCATCGCCCACACAGCACATATGCACGGGCACATGGGGCACACAGATGGGGTGGGGGGCAACTCGTTAGCAACACTGAAGACACGGGGGGCAAGGGCCCTCTCTGGGAGTAGCTGCGGCGGGGAGGAGGGAGCCATGACCTGGGACGGAATGGGGGTGTGCGATGCACTCGGAAATGAGGAATAGCTCAACTTGAAGGGGGAGAGTATGTGGATCCAAGAAGGGAGTTGTCTGTGCGAATGAGTAGCTGGGTCTGGGAGGGAGTATCTCCAGTTAAGGGAGGGAGTAGCAGGGTCCACGGAGGGCAGCAGCTGCGGGGGCCTTCAAACAGGTCTTAGCGGGGAGAAGAGCAGCTAGAGGAAGTCCACGGACGGAGTCATTGGAGGTAGCTGAGAAGTCATTTGATCCAGGGACAGGGGAGTTGGGAGAGAAGCAGGCAAAGGGGGTAACTGGGCCTAGAGAAGCAGCAGGTGGGTGGGCATAAAGGCTGGCCAGCCATCTGTGGGCCCTGCAGGAAGCAGCTAGATCCAGAGAGGGAGTAACTGAAAGAATCTGGAGAAGTAAACGAGACTAGAAGCTGGAAGAAAGAAGAGCTGGGTCCGGGGGTGATGTAGCTGTGCCCCAGGAAGAAGGCAGAGCCCAAGGTGGTCATCGGTGGACCTTGAGGAGAGAGAAGCAGCTGGAAGGAGAAGTATCTGGATTCAGGGAAGGAGCAGTTGAGAGAACTTGGAGAAGCAACTGGATCCAAGCAGGAGTTGCTGGGGGAGAGAGTGACCAGGGTCTAGGAGGGAGAAGAGAAGCTGCCTCTGGGTCTGGGAAGCAGGAGAGAAGCATCTAGAAAACAGAACCGCTGGATCCAGAGGAAGGAGGCCAGGCAAGAGCCGGGTCCAGAAAAGGTGAAGCTGAGTCTAGAGAAGACACTGGGGAGGGCGTTACTGAGCTGGAGTGTCCTTGAATGGACCCCAGTGAGGGGGGCAGCTGGACCTGGGGGCGGGGTGGGGGCACTGGGCTCTCTACCTCTCTTCCTTTGTCGGAGCTCACGCAGTGCAGCCCGGATGAGCTTCCGCTCCTCAAAGTCCGTAGTCTGATCCAGCTGCAGACAGAGCCCCCATCATTGCCCACCTGGTGCTTGCCTGCCCCGGCCCCCTGCCCACCCCCAAGTCCATCAGATCCGGCCATACCATCTTGTCCAGGACACTCTCATCCTCGATGGCCATCAGCTCCTCGGCGCTCAGTGGGCTCCGGCTCCCTGGTGCTTTGTCCACTCGGGTCTGCTCGGCGCCGTTGGCCACCTCCACTGCTGCAGAGGGGGGCTCTGCTGGCTCCGGCTCCATCTGCGGAGAGGGGCAAGGGTATGGGTTACAAGCAGGGCTGCAGATGAAACCAACTGTGCCTCCAAAGGACAGGAGACCAGGCCCTGGGGCTGCTGGCACAGCCTTTGAAATACCACTAGCCAGCTGGACCACCTGCCCAAGGATGGCCATGCTGGTGTGAGGCTCAGGGACGAGGCACTGAGACCTTTGTCGTTGGGCTTCCCGTGCACCCAGAACTGTCGTGATACAATTGAGGGTGGCGATAATGGCGATTTCCATTCAGTAGTGAGCACTGTGTGAACACTGGGTATTTTAACAGAAGGGAAAGCTGAGGCTCAGGGCAGCTGTGGGACTTGTCCCCAGTCTTTCTGGAAGTGTGACGTGGCCCGGGGTCTGAGCTGAAGCCTAACCCCTGAACCCGAGTTCCTTCTGCCGCTTCGTTCCCAGCCCCCTCCCAGGCAGGCTGTGCCCTGTCCTGCCCGTACCCAAAGCCTGGGTCCTCCTGGGCCAGTGCCCAGGCAGCACGTGTCCCCCGTCCACACGGTGAGGGAGCTGGACCAAGGCCCACAGGCTCCTGACCAGGTGTCTGACCAGGGCTGCCCAGAGCCAAGTCCTCTCTGGAGTTCGCCCTGCTCCCCTCCCCCAGCACGTCACCCCCTCAGGGGCCCCTGCAGTCCCAACCTAGCCCGATACCCATCCCAGGGCACCTCCCCAGACCCCTTGCAGACAAGCCCCCGCCCAGCTATCACAGCCCCATCCCCTCCTGGCAGGGCCCCTTGGTCTGCGGTAAGGGTAAGGAGAGACGAGGTGGCAGCTGCTTCGGGGAGGCTCAGCCTGGCGGGGGCAGGGAGTGGGGGTGGGGCTGGGGGCTGGGCCCCGGCCAGGGGCTGCCAGGGCAGCCGCCACGCGTGCCTCAGGGCCAGGGGCATGGCACCATCTCGCCTGAGCCTTGGAGCACCGGTGCCGCAGTCCCCTGTACAGACAGGGAAACTGAAGCTCAGAGCGGGTGGTGGTACACCCAAGGTCCTTCGGCAAAGGCCGAGCCTGGCTCAAAACCACCCCCTCCCGGCCGTCCATGGGGACTTACGAGGCTGGCGCTGTGGGCAGGGCCGGCAGAGGAGCGGCGGCGGGTGCTGAAGGCAGGCGGGTGGGCCACGGGGGTCCCGGCATCCTCGGCTGCCTGGAACAGGGCCTCGGGGTCCGAGGCGGCCAGGAGCAGCTCACTGGGCTCCAGCTCGGGCTCAAGGTCGGGCGCCAGCGGGACCCCCAGCCGCAGGCTCAGCACCTCCACCTGCCTGCCCAGCGCGTCCAGCCGCCGGCTCAGTGTGGCCGTCTCCGCCCGCAGCTCTTCGGCTGCCCGGGCCACGGGCTCCACGGCCGAGGCTGCTGCTTCAGCAGCCTGGGTCACCGCCGCCCGACCTGCCTCAGCCACCGCCCGCAGCTCCTCCAAGGCCCGGCCCAGTCGCTCCTCGAGGGCTGCGGCCAGCTCCGAGCCTGGCCCTGGGACCCCCGGCATGGTGCTGGCAGGGGGCTGTGCAGTGGGATGGCGCTGGGGACAGTGCTGGGGACCGCCGCTCCTGGCTGGCCGACTCAGGCTTTGCAGCTGGTCCTGAGGGCGCAGGCAAGGGCAGCAGGCCTGCCCCGCCCCTGCTGGCCTCCCGGCCTGCCGCCCGCCAGCTGGGGCTGTAGCCCAAATAGAAACCTATTCTGGGCTCCCTCTGGAGGGGGGCCGTGGGGGAGGGGCGGCCTGCCCAAGCAGGCGGACCGCCAGGCCTGGCCCTGGCCCTGCAGAGATCGCAGACCGGCGGAACAGCAAGGCTGCCCAGGTGCTGAAGGCCTGCCTATGCCCCGTGGGTGGGGAGACGGAGGGAGGGAGAAGGCACGGGCCTATCAGGGCCCCCGTGTGCATGAGCCGAGAGGACCCAGACTGCCAGGCTCCAGACGCCTGCATCCTCTGCTCGGCCCTCACGCCATGCCGCCTTAGAAAGCCTCGAGCAGGTGGGGCCAGGACTTCGTGCAATCTGCTGCGGCGAGTGCCTGGTCCTCTGCTGGCCTCTGGCGCTCAGATCCAACCACAGCTTTGAGCAGGTGCATCCCAGGCGCACCATCTGCCTCCCTTTGGTTCTGGAGGGGGACGCTGAGGCCAATTGGTGGTCTCAGACCCCAGGCCCCTTGCGGTGCCTCCCATCACCCCCAGGGCCTCAGACACCCTGTCCTCACCTCCTTGGCAGAGAGTTGTTTAAGTGCCAACCTGGGAGGGGAAGGGTGCTTCCTGCCCCTGCCCGCTCCCTGTCACCCCTAAAGCTGGCTCTGTTCCCTCTCACTTTGAAGTCCCACTCAGTCTCTGGAGCAGCACTGAGGCCATTACCTGAGCAGCCGGGTGGCTCACTGGGGATTCCTTTCCCCGCACAGCTTCCAGCCAGCTGACGCTGGGCTCCAGGATGAATAATGGAAGGGTGCAGCGGATTCAGTTCCCGAGGCACCTGCTCGGCTGCTGCCTCACCTGACTGGCACCCCCCTGCCTGTGCCCCCATCGGTGCTTCGGCCCAGTCTCCCCTCCCCCGAGATGCTGACGCAGATGGCAACCGCTAATCTCCAGTCTCCCAACGGGCCAGGCTGATCTTGGATGAGCAGATGAGCAGCTCTGCACCTCGGGGCTGAGGTCCAGCGCAGGGTTGGAGCAGGGCCCCTGGGGCGGCTACAGGATGGGGGTGGGGGGGGGGTGGGGCAAGCCCTCACCACCCTCCCTGCCCTCAGTTTTCCCATCAGTTCATGAGGAATGCACTGGCCAATTCTGGAGGAGGGGCCAGAGATCATCACGTGGGAAGCTTAAGGCCGGTACGCGGTGAGCTTCCGATATGCCTAGTGGCTGATTGGCGAGGGTCTGGCCTTAGCTCTGCCACCAACTGGTTGTGGGCTGTGGGCACCTCCTCTGGGCCTCGGTTTCCCGTGTGTGCAGTAGGGGAGGGGCCCGGCGAGCCCTAACACCCGGAAGCCGTCCACATGAGGCGGATGATGGGGAGGCTGGTGGGGTGAGGAGGAAGGGCTCACCTTTATGCTGCAGCCTCCTCGGCTACCCAGGGAGGCAGGGCTGAAGCTGGTGACGTGAGTCACGCTGCCCAGCCGGGCTAGGTTCCCAGGGCTGCTGATATGGGTGATGGTGCTCTTGCCCCCACTGCTGGGGCTAAGGAGGGTGGGGGGCGCCCGCAGCCCCAGCGTCAGTTCTGGAGGGGGAGAAGGACGACCATCAGGATCAGGTGGGGTGGGGGCGACTGCCAGTCCAGGCTGATGGCGCCCCTGGTTCCCAGCGCACCCTCTGGAGACACCCTGAGCCCTGGCCACAGTACATGTTCTGTGTGTGGAGCTGGGCGGCCACAGACGGGCATCCCCGGCAGTGGGGAGGCAGCGGGGAGGCCTACCTGCCCTCTGGTTGCCCGTGGGCAGCAGCACCCGGCCTGTGGAGGCCTGGCCCCGGCCATCCTTGATCTCGATGGTGAATGTGGTCTTCATACTGGCCCCTGGCTCGGCGGCGCCCACGGCCACGGGCAGCGGGGCGCTGGCCTCCTCTGAGCGCGCCACGGGCCCCCCTGCTCTGTTTTCAAGGGGCCTGACGGCCAAGCCCCGCCCCCTGGGGCCCTCCTCCCGGGGGCAGCTCTGAAGCTGGGCCAGGGGCCGGGCTGTCCCCCGCGAGGAGGGGCCACTGGAGGAGGAGAAGGAGGCGGCAGGGGTGGTGCTGGTGTGGGCGGGGCCTGGGAGCCTGGCAGGGGTCGAGGGACCGAGGGCCGCGCGGGGTGGGCCTTCCTGGAGCCCCGTGGCCGTGGCCGTAGGAGATTCGGATGTGAACTTGCGCACGCGGTCCCGGACGGAGCCCGCCCGCTGGAACGGGGAAGGTCCGCTAGCGAGGGGGGTGGGTTCTAGACGGGACGGGGCAGGCCGTCAGTGGTTGGCTGGGACAGGCACTGCCCAGAGCCCAGGGCTGGGGGAAACAGGCAAGTACCTCGGTTCTGGGCTGGCTGGCGGGGGCTGAGCACAGACAGGGAGCGTTGGCAGGGACGAGGGTCAGCCAGGTCTGGCAGCGCGGGGAGGCGGTAGCGGCCATGTGGGGGGGCAGAGAACGGAGAGTGGACGGTGGGGACCACCTCTTGCAGTCCTTTCTTCCACAGCCCCTCAGCCTACCAGCCCATCCTGCAACTCCCACAGCTCCTGGCTTCCCGCTCAGCTGCGTCTCTCTCTCTCTCACAGGCCCCTCCTCCCGCTACAGGTCTGACCCCAGGATGACTTGGACACTCCTGGGGGCTGGGGCTAGGCTTGGGCCAGAGGAAGGGTGCCCAGATCCTCCCTGCCGATGGGGAAGGGGGACACTCCCCTGGCCAGCACTGCCCACAGCTCCAGCTGGGAGATGGGTGCACTCCCTTATTGGGGAAAAGAATGTGCCTGAGGCCCGTTGCCTTTCAAGGCTGCAGGAGAGCCTCTGGCCATGGGTGGGGGGGAGTGGGCTGGGCGTGGGGCGGGGACACCTCAGGGGCAGTGGGAGGAGGCAGTGTCAGAGAGGGCCTGGACCCGAGGGTGCTGGAGCGGTCCAGGCACCACAACCCATTTTGCAGGCAGGGAAGGGGAGGCCCGCGCTGTCTCTGCTGCTGGAACCCTCACCTGCTCTCTTTGTGTCGGAGCGACCTTTGGTGGGGCCTTGTGCGGCAGGGGGCTCCGTGGGGCCGGGTGGGAGCTGCAGGGGAGACACGGTGTGGGCAGGGGCCTGACTCCCAGACCCGGGAGCTCACCTGCTTGGCAACCCCGCCCCTCATCCCGACTCACCTTGTCGACCACCTGCCCGTCTGTGCTGTGGGTGGCTGGAGGCTCCTGGGGCTCAGGGCTGGCGACCCTGGGCGGGCTTGGGGGAGGCTCGGGACTGCCCAGAGCCTTGGGGGCAGGGCACGCGGCCCCCTCGGCAGGCTCCAGCGGAGGCTCAGGAGAGGTAGTGGTGGGCGAACCGTCGGCTGAGGCAGGTGGGCTGGGTGTGTCCCCAGGCGGGACACGCAGCAGGAGCGTCACCGTGGTCACATCCCGGCTGGTGCCGCTGGGGGTCGGGGTTGGCTCTGGGACCTCCACCTGCTGCTTCTGTTCCTCTGGCTTTGGCACCTGCGGGAGGCCCACAGGATGCGGCCAAAGCTCCCTAGGCTGGCAGCGCCCCGGGCAGGGCATGCAAAGCAGCGGGGCTGGGCATGGCTTCCTGCAAGTGCACCTGCACAAGCGTGGTCGCTGGTGTACCACGGCGGGCTCTGATCCTCACTTCCCAACCTCTCGGCACTGCCTGGCCACAGGAAGTTCAGAGAGCACCAGATCCTGATGCCAGGGGTTGGGGACAGCAGGAGACCTACTGGGGACTCCCAGACTTAACAGATTCCTCGATTGGAGACCCCTGATCCCTGGCCTCAACCTGGTTAACCCGTGGGGTAGGGGGCTTCCCAGGTGACGCAGTGGTGAAGAATCTGCCTGCAATGCGGGAGACGCGGGTTCGATTCCTGGGTTGGGAAGATCCCCTGGAGGAGGGAATGGCTACCCACTCTGGTATTCTTGCCTGGAGAATCCCATGGACAGAGGAGCCTGGCGGGCTACAGTCCACAGGTTCGCAGAGTTGGACACGACTGAGCAGCTAACACTAGGGGGCAGTCCTGCCAGGTCGAGGGACCCAGTGGTCTCTACTGGGCCTGACCTTACACACACGCCCTGGAGAACAGACCCTGCAAACAGCTGGGGCCTGAAGGCGGACCAGATGAGCCAAGGTAAGGATGTGGACTGTCTGGAGCAGGAGGGGTGGCCACGGACGGTCTAAGCTGGGCCGGAGCCCGGGTCTGATTTGCATTTCAGGGAGATCCCCGGTCTGCTGAGCGGAGGCTGGATGGCTAGTGTGGGGTGGGAGGTGGGCCTGGGAGCAGGGAGGCCAGCAGGGTGGTAATGGGAGACAGACAGGAGCCTGGGAGCAGTGCAGATAAGCTGGTTTTGCTGGGAAGGCCTGGGTAGAGGTGAACTCTGCAGTGGGGACATGTCACCAGAGCTTGCCTGGGACAGTGGGGCAGAGGCCTGAGATTAGAGCCTCAGTATTCCCCAAACACAAGCTGGGCACCCCGCCCCCCCAACAGTGAAAGACACACAGGAGCTCTGTGGTGCTGGCATCGCTGGGCCCAGGACCTGGCCCATGCCCCTTACCTCACACGGCTCCAGCCTGTGTGCTGCCTGTGCCTGGCTGTCCTCTCTTGAGCCACTGTTGGGACGCCCGCTGTACAACCTTCCAGCTAAGGTGGCGGCTGGAAGGGAAGGGAGAAGTGTCAGGTGAGAGGCCAGGGGGCGGGGGGGCGGGGGTAGAGGAGTCACTGAGGGCAGCGTGCAGCGGGGCCGGGGTGGGGCAGGGCGGGCGCGTACCCTCGATCTCCTGGGCCCGCACGCGGCGGATGGCGGCTCGGATCAGCTTCCGCTCCTCGTACTCCGCGGCGCCCCGCAGCTGTGGGTGAGAGGTGGGCCTCAGGTGTTGGGCTGTGAGTCCAGGTCTTCACTGGCTCGGTCCCCTCCCTTGTCCCAGGCCCAGGACTCACCAGTGCGGTCAGCTCCTCCACATCATTCATGGACTCCAGACGTCCTGCCAGCCGTGCCAGAGCAGCCCGCTGCTCAGCCTCCCGCTGCTGGGAGCTGCGGGGACACCATGACTGGTCACCTCCGTGGCCAGGGCCGAGTCCTGGAGGATGTGGGCTGAGGGTGGAGGCCAGGACAGGGTACCCGGAACCTCGGCAGAGGGGCAGGTAGCTGCGCACACCCTCTGGCTACACGCTGGCACATGCACGCCCAGGGACCTGAGCACTAATACCACATGGGTGTGGCCAGGCACGTGGCCCACGCCCGCAAACATCCCTGTGTGTTACTCCAAATGCGTGCCCGTGCTGCCGTGTGCACACCCAGGTGGGCAGCAGACACCTGGCTCAGGCCTGCCCGCACAGCACGCGCTGAGCCCTGGCACATCCAGTCCCGCCTGCATGTCCACCCCCTCACAGACACTCACTGTAGCCAGTTCTCCTTGTTGTCCTGCCGCTCGGCGCGGAAGCGCTTGGATGCCAGGGCCTCCTCCTCGCGTTCCAGCTCCTGCCGCTGCAGCTCCCGGATGGCCGAGCGGATGCGCCGCCGCTCTGCCAGATCCGCCGTGACCTCCAACTGCGGGACAGGTGGAGGCGGGGCGGGGGGGGGCAGGGGGCAAGTCATTTTGGCTGCCAGGGGCGGAGGGCGGGCAACCAGCCGCCCACGGCTCGGCCTGGGGCACAATGAGTGGTCTGTCTCGGCTCCCTCTGCCCTAAGCCCGTCACGTGCCTGCCCGCCCACCCAAACCTGGTCTCAGGGGAGACCCGGATGACAGCCAGGGCTTCTGGACGGCCCACCATGCATGGACTGGGCAGCCGGCATCCCACCCACCTGAACCAGATGCCAAGTCAGGCGTGCCTTCTTGTGACTTGACTCCTGCCTCTCAGAGCCCTTCATCGAACCCCGAGAGCCACAGAGTCATTCATGGAGGAGGAGAGAGGCCATCCTAAGGGCCCCTAACAGTGTCCCTGGGCAGGGAAGGGTGATTCAGGCTGCTGAAGTCCAGCAGTGAGCAAGGGAGACTCCCACGGTCGCGCAGCACCACAGCCTTGCTAACAGGTGGCAGCCTCGTCCATATTGAACAGATGGGGAAACTGAGGCAGGAGCAGGCTGTCAGGAGTCAGAGCTCCCTGCCTGGCCGGGGCTGTTTTTCTCTCTACACTGGTCCAGCTCCAGCCACCATTAAAGAGGCAACCCGTAATGCGAGGGCCAACTCCCCAGACAGATAAGACAGCTGCACTAGGGTCTACCCAGGGCCCTAGAGAGGGCACCCATGGGGACAGGTGCTCCCACCAGCTTCTCGGCCCGTCCTGTCCCTCCCTGGCAAATAGAAGGTGACTGGTCTAACCAGGTCCAGGAAAGGGCACCTTCTCTGGGCGGTCAGCCAGTCCTATTGCCCCCACCCCCATCCCCCCCACGGAGCCCCTGTGGGAGAGGGGAGAGTGAACTGGCTTAGGGCCCTGAGGACGATAATGGCAGAGATAAGCCCCCAGGGTGGGGCCTGCGCCAGGTGGGAGCAAGTATAAACACAGTGATTTCCTCTGTCCACACCGCCCCGCCCCCCCCCCGCCCCCAAGGGACAGGCCTGAGAACACTACTGCCATGCCTTTTCTGCCTCCTCCGCCATCATTCCTTTCTGCTCTCTGGGGGAGTCAGGTGGGAGCGGGGGAGGTTTCAGCGGGGAGTGTGGGGGGCCCAGCTTAGCCATGAGCTCACTTGTACCAGTCTGAAGAGAGCAGAGACAAGTGATAAGAGCCCCCCAGGGAACCTTCAGTCTTCACATCCCAGGAGCTATGGGAGGGTCCCTGGAGGCTCAAGACAGGGCCCCCCAGCTGGCTCCAGCCCCAGTTGATCTCGGTTGGGTGGTCAGAATCATATCCTCAACTTTTCTGGTCTTGGCTTTCTCACTTGTCAAATGGAACAATGGCCCCCCCCTTCGGGGCAGTGGGTGGGGATAGGGGAGGTGATTTGGGGTCCCGCACCTTGCAGAGCTGTGTATGGTTGATTCCAGAGCCAGACAAGAGGGGAGAGAGAAAAGTGAGGTGACTGAGGACAGGACCCCAGAGGCATCTATAACGTTTACTGAGCACCTGTGTGCCAGATCCTATGCGGAGCCCCATAACTGTTCTAACTTCACAGAAGCCCTGGGCACTCTATTACCCCCATTTGACAGATGAGGATACTGAGGCTCAGGGAGAAGTGATCTGAGCTAGGGTTTGCACCCAGGTTTCCGTGACTCTGGGGCCTTCCCTGGGCCAAGGATAGCTCTGTGACTGTTGTCTGTCTGCTACGGTGAGTATCTTGAGAACCCTCATACTACACTGGGGACCCCCTCCAGCCTGGACTGGAGATGCCCTGGGGTTTAAGGGAGCCTATTATGTGGGAGGGAGTGGAGAATGAGGTGAGCCTCATTCTCCACCCCCAGTCCTGACTTGATCAGGCCCCGAGCCCTCTGTGGTAAGCAAGGATTTTCTAGGCCTGGGGGGGGGGGGGGCGCAGCTGATGCAGCCCCTCCTGTGCAGAGGGTAAAGAGGCTCAGAGATGCAATGAGTCCTAGCCCTTTGTCTCCTGGGTTCCCCTTCCCAGCCCCCTGGAATCCTGAGATGGGGTTCTCATCCTTGAAGAAAGGCTGGTATGGCAACTTCTGCCCACCCCTGGGAGCCTCAGCGTCCCCATCTGGAAAATGGGAGCCTCTGTGTGATCCTCCACGTGGGTGGGGCAGAGCTGGGGAACGGACAGCCCCACCCCACTGGTCACCCTCGCGCATGACCCTTCCCTTTGGGCTTGGAGACAAAGGTCCGCCCACAGTGTCCCTGCTGTGTGTCCCGCGTTCCCCGCCCTCCCCGGCCCCACCGCCCAGAGTGGAGGGAGCTGTTGCTGGGAGGGAAGGAAGTACAAAGCGCCATTGTCCGCTGGGGGAAAGGGAAGGAGATGGGGCGGTTTCCGAAACTGCCCGGTGAAATTCTCCCGGGAGGAAAGAGGGTGCTTCCTCCTCCCGGGGGGCTGGGCCTCCGGGTACTTTGTACTCTGCTGGGGGCGACTGAGCCCCGGCGTCTCCCTGTCCCCACCAGTACCACGGAGGAGACTTTGGAGGAATTCGTTCAGTGCCGGCTCCTCCAGGTACGGAAGGGGGACCGGCCGGCAGCGAAGCAAGGTCTCGCCAGAGGGCGCTGACTGCACGCGGGCCGCTCAACCGCGGCCGCCCGCACCGCCCACGCTTCTCCCAAGCAGCCGGGCCAGAGGCGCCCGGCCGGGAGCCAGCCAGACAGGAAGCCCCCCGCCACCGCCTGCTTTAACATCCCCGGCTACGGAGAGGAAACCCAGGTTCGCGGACTTAAGTAGCTTCTGCAGGTCACCCAGCTAGTGTCAGTGCCCCATCTCCGACCCGGGACCGAGGCGGAGGGCGTCCCGGTGTGTGGCGGAGGTGCACGTGGTGTTCGTGGACCCAGGTGCCCCCTTCCCGCACAGCCCCGCTCCGAGTTCGCAGGCATGTGCGGGAGCCGAGGTCCGGAGGGCATCTCGGGTTCCCCAAATCGGCCCGACGCTGGGGCGCGGGTCAACTTTTCCCTTATAAGGCCCGGCCCCGCGGGGAGGAGCCCGGCTCCGGGACGCCCCCCGTTCCTGCCACGAGGCCGGCGCGCGCGGGGCGGGACCCTCGGCGGCGCTGGGGCGCAGTAATGGCGGGCGCCTGGCCGCGGAGGGCCCGGTACCGGAATGGGAAGGATCTGAGAAAAGGGGAGGCGGGGTTCGGAGTCCGAGATGAGGGGCGAGGTTTTGCTAGTCCTCTCCCAGGGAGGGGGTCGGGGATGGGCGGCCTACAGCCAACAATCCAGCTTCTCTGAAACCCTTTTTCCAGTACCCAAGCCTGCATGGAGTGGGGTTGGCGGCTGGAGAGCCCTGAGCCTGGGCGGACCCCTAGAGATGGGGGTGCGCGGAGACCTGGCTTTCTCTCCACTACCCAAGTTAGGATTCTGGCTTCCTGCCGGGGAGTCGAGCTGACACGGTGGGAGCCTTTGGAAGCCCATCTCCTTCAGGTTGCACACAGCCGCCTGTGGCGGTGGCAGACACCCAGAGTGTGAGGTGCTGTTCCAGGCCGAGTGCCTTGGGTAGATGATGGCGGTGACTGGGCACTGCCCAGTGACTGGTGTGAGCTGGCTGGCTCCAGCCCCTGCCTCCAAAGAAATGGAATGGGGGTGGGGTGGATCATTTGCCTTCTCCCAGGGAAAGTAAATTTTTAATTTACCCCCTGGACATGGGTCAGGGGCTGAGGGGGTGGGGCTTTGGCCCCTTCTCCTGTTTCCTGCTCTCTGCCCTTGCCGGTGGGCACATACTTGCCCTGCTCGATTGCCCCCGCTGCCTCTCTGTACCTGGTGCGGATGTTGGGGGAGGGGCTGCAAGAAGAAGCTAGGGAAAGGGGATGGAGGGGGCCCATCTTTTTCCACACCAAGATCTGGGCCCATGCCTCATTCCATCCTCATGCCAACTGAAGGACCTAGATATTATGTTCACACACATTGCCCCCACCTCCCATTTTACAGATAGAGAAACAGGCTCAGAGTGGGAAATGACAGATTAAAAGTCACAGAGCTCCTAAGGGTCCCCAAGGCCTTGATGAGCTCTTCTGGCCTTGACTTATCCAGGTCTCTTGGTCTCCCATGAACCTCTTGGGGGTTTGTTTGGATCCTGACTAATCCTTTTCCTAGCTGGGTGCTCCTGGGCAGGTGACGTCACGTCTCCGAGCCACAGTGTTCTCCTGGCTCTTGGAGCTGCTGTGGCCATTCTGCGAGATGGTGTGTTTAGCCGCCCAGCCTGCTCCGTGCTATGCCCTGGCGTATTACTAATCATTGCTGCTACTGTTATCATTGGGCCGGCCTCCAGGGGTGGATACTGCCCAGGTTGTTGTTTGGGAGAGGCAAATCCAGCCTCCCCACACCTGTGGCTGCACATGGGCAAGTCCTCACCAGTTACTGTTTAAACAGGTGGTGGCACTGGGGGGCTGGGAGGAACAACCTCAGCACCTGGCATGGACAGGCACATGCCACCAGAACCTCTGCATCGGCCACGCGGAACAGGCCTAGCCGTTTCCCTGAGCCTTCCCCCTGCCCCTCCCCCATCACCTCCTCTTGTCAGCTGAGCGGTATCCTGGACAGACCCTGCCTCTCCGGCCTGGCTTGTCTGTCCTCATAGTAGAGATGATGGGACCACTTACCAGCTTCCGCAGGGCTCCCTCATCCAGCCCAGCTAAGGTTTCATCCGCCATCTTGCTGGCCCCTAGCTCCGTCCGACCCTTCCTGGTGAGTTCCCCAGTGCCTCTGGCACCTGATGCCAGCTCAGGAAATTCTGCAGGGGATAGACATGAGTCAGGCCTGCGGAGGCCTCTAGAAACCTTAGGCACTTGGGCTCTTGTGCCTCAGTTTCCCCCTCTAACCCATGATCATCCATTGCTGTCCCATCCTTCTTGTCTGTGATGTCACTCCTGGCTGGGAGGTGCCTTCTTCCCTCGGTAGTGTGTGCTGGAAAACTCAACGAACCAAGAGGAGAAGCCCTTAGTTCCAGTCACCTGGACTGCTAGCTTGCTGTGTGGCCTTAGCTGGGCCCTCGCCATAGCTAAGCATCAAACAGGGAGGTTAGGGATCTGGATTGCGAAGCCAGGGCCCAACAAGGCCCACTCAAGCTGTGCTTACCACCAGGGGGTGCCCGCCACACTCCACGGCTTCCTGCCCCACCCACCCATCCCCAGGGCCTGCCCAGCCCCCAGTCATCCCAAAAGCTCAGCCTCTGGCTATGGACTAAGCCCATACCCAAGTCCTTGCTGCTCTGGCCACTCTCACTTCCCCAGGTAACTTAAGCCATTGGAGGTAACATCCTGTCTTCCAATTCTTGAGGACAGCCCTCTGCTCACACCCCTCTCCACTCCTCCCCTTCCCGCCCTTCCCCGATGCCAGCTTCCCTGACTCCATGAAACCAGGTGTCTGGACACCCAGCTCCTCCTGTCAATTCCCACACTTAGAATTCAGTTCCGTAGCTGGAAGAGCCTTCAGAAACTGATCCGCCCAGCTCCTGGACTTCGAAAAACAGGATTGGAGAGGGCCAGAGGGTTGTCGTGGGGGAAGGAGGATCCCAAAGACCCAGAGGGCAGGGAATGGATTTAATCTTGGCCACCTCTACCTTCTGAAGTCCCCTTCCAAAGTGCCCTCAGGGGCTCAGGACACTCCCTCTTGCCCTATTACTGTCTCTCAAAATGGCCCCCTAAATCCTGACCCAGCTTCCCAGTGTAACTCTTTTCTTCGTCCTGCAGCCTTAACCTCTTTCTGGAATCTCCAGGGCCCATGGCCTGATACACCAGAGGTGCTCAGTTACTGTATGGTTGTGTACTGTAAGTTGAATCCTGAAATGGCCCCAGGATTGCCTCTGCTCCCGCTGATTCATCCCGCAGTCATCCCTTCCCCCTCCCCAGAACAGTCACTTTTCGAGTCACCTCATCCGGTGAATGGGTCTGGGGGTGTCCTAGTCCACACACTTGGGGTTCGTGGGACTCTGCCTGCTCAAGTTGCTGCTTGCTTCCCCATCCCTGTAGTCTCGGACAGGTGGCAACCTCCCAAACTCCCTCTGCTGGGGTCCTTCATGAGCAGTCACCAGACTTAGGTTCTGTGGACACTCTGAGTTCCCCCACGTTTTCTGAAGGGCAGGGGTCCCTAACGCAGAATCTAGAACTCCCAGGGAGGTCTCTTTCTCCTCAGGAATTCTCGCCGCTGCTTCACGCCAGTCCCATGACTCCCTGTCACACAGTGTGGGGTCCCCAAAGGTTGTGAGGGGCCTCAGAGGAACGTAGGAGCTTCCTCAGGGTTTCTGCCCCCGTAGACTTACACTCCTGGAGGTCGTGGAGCTTCCTGGAGATCCGTGAGCGTCTTTACCCCAGGTCTCAGAACTTTTACCCCGTGGCTTAGCGCCCCCGTGGGTGGGTGGGAGCTCCCAGGTCTGAGGGTCCCCAAACCCTGGGAGTCCACATATCCGGGTGCCACCCTCGAACCCGTCGGGGGTCCTGCTGCCACCCGGAGACCCCGCACACCCACCTCTTCGTCTGGTCCGCCCGTCCCGCGCGGGCTCAGGTTAGGTCGTTCGGGATCCAACAGATGGACGACTAGGAGCGGTCAGGCGGAAGGCGCCGCGACCGCGATCCCAGGCCCGCTCAGCAACCGTCCCTGGGATTCTGCTAGCACCGCCTGTCCAGCCGCGCCAGCAGCCCCGAGGACCCCGCCCCGAGTCCCCGCGCCAGCCAATTCCGGGGAGGGTCCCGCCCACCCTCGTGCCCTATTGGGGAAATTCAATTTTGACGGCCACACCCCTAACGGAGGCCCCGCCCTTCGCGGGCCTCGGAAGTACTGGATTGCAGTCTTGGGGCCACTGCTCTTGCAACCTTGGCTGGTCGAGTGGGCGTCGCCAGGAGGTCGCAACTTTGCGCCAAAGTCGGGGAGGGCTCGCGAAACCGGGGTAAGTGGCCCGGGATCGTACTATTCGCGGAGCCTGCGGGACAGCCTCTCTCCGCCCTCCTCTTTGTTCGTGAAACCCTGTCCCCTCCTTCAGCTCCGCCCCCTCCTCGCTTCAGTGCCCGGCCTTGGCCGCTGCCCGCAGGCTGCTTTCAGGACACCTGGTCCGGGCCACCTCAGAGCAGCGACTAAGTGGCCGGCATCACACTGACCCTACGTGGGGGCACCTCAGGGACCGCCTCAGATGGAGTTGGGTCAATCACACACCTCTTCCCCAGCCCACACACCTTTGCATACACATTCACCTTATGGGTCACTTCTCCCTGCCAAGCTCCTCAGGGTCGCCCTCTTGCAGCGCTGGGGTTTTAAACTGGGAACACTAAGTCCAGAATCTCATTCAGTCAATGGAGGAAATTGAGGCCCTGAGAGAGCCGATATGCCCAAGACAACATAAGGGATAAATAAGGGGACCCCAGAGCTCAGACCCCTCTGGGAAAAACTACTCAGTCCCTTCTGCTAGAGATCAGGGTCCTTTCCGCAGGTCTCCATGGAGGCCAAAGGGAGTTGGCGCCTGGGAGGTGGCGTCTGGAGTCCTGTCTGTCAAATAATAATAATAATAATAATATAAACTCATTTATTTTGTACTTGCCATGTACCAGGCATATAATCCCTATGATGACTGTTTGAGCCCAAGATTACCGTCTTATTTTACAGTTGAGGACAGGTGATAAGTAGTGGAACTGTGATTCATACCAGCACGTTTTGAATATAGAATCTGTGCTTTTAACCACTGTGATATGGGGTTGTGGGGAAGTGGCTTCAGCCTATTGCATCAGGAGGCTCAGCCCCACTGTCTAGAGCCTCTGTGACCATCCGCCACCACACCTCATCCCCATCTAGACAGAGGGGCAGTATCCACTCTGAGACCCTTTTAAAGACGTCGGCTTATTTCACCCCCACATTCCTGAGAGGTGGTCTCATTTTACGCATGGGAAAACCACAGCGCTGAGAGGGAAGAGACTCCTTAAGGTGACATGGGAGGAGGCGCAAACAGAGCTCCATCTGGGGGCTTTAATTCGAGCAAGCCGCATCTACTCTCTCTCTAGTTAAACTAGATGTAATTTTTAAAAATAAACTTTATTTTATTGTTACTATTATTATTTTTTGGCCACGTGACTTATTGGATCTTAGTTCCCCTGCCATGAATTAAACCTGGGCACTCTGGCAGTGAGAGCTCAGAGTCCCAATCATTGGACAGCCAGGGAATTCCCAACCTAGATGCCCTTTTATTCTTCAAGACGGGAATCAGCACCCTCCAAGGCCAACTAAGTTCTATTCAAACCTCGCGTGCCCATTGGAACAGCCCCCTGGGGCGGGGCACAGGTAGGCCACCTGAGTGGTGGCTGTCTGCTCCAGGGAATGGCCTTCTTCGTCCTAGCTCCTCTCCCCACCCACCCCCCCAGCAGGGAGAAACTGCGGGGTGAGTCTCTTTGTGGACTTTATGTGACACTCACGCGCTCACCAGTTCCTAGTAATGCTGAAGATAAGCACGGGTCCCGCCCCTCCGTCAAGCCCTCAGGGCGGGGGTCCTCCTCCGTTCTTACTTGCCTTCCCTCCCCATCTGAAAGGGGCGAGGCGAGATGGTGGTGAAATAAAATCAAAGGGCAGCCCGTGAGGTCCTGGAGAAGCTTGCAGACACAGTACAGGAAGGAGCAAAATGTCCCATGAGGAGGACCCTGGTGTTTACTGAGCACCTGTTGCATGCCTGACATGGGATTTACCCGGTTCCAAATTGACCACGGAGCTAGATATGTATTAACCCAAATTCTACAGAGGAGGAAACTAAAGTTCACGGAAGTGAACTGAATGAACTTCCATCGACCTGAGTGGAATTCTGCCTCGTGCCAAAGCCTCTTTCGTCTACCTTGCTTTCTCTAGGATTGAGGAAATCGTGGAAGACTTCTTAGAGGAGGTGATGTTGCAAACTCATCCTTGAGGAAGGGTGCAAAGAAATCCATCCCATGGAGAAGAGGGAGAAAGACGTGAAAGGGTATTAGTGGCTAGGGAACAGTGTGAATAAGGCCAGAGGTTTTTAAGTGGGAAACGGAGGCGAGAAAGGCTGTGGATAGAGCAGGAAATGGGGATGGAAGACCTTCCATTTGTGAAGGGCCCTGAATGCCAGGTGAGTAGGGTGAACACTGGGGAGGCCTGGGCTTCAGTTGGTCCATCTATCAAATGAGGGTCTCGGACCAGCTCACTTCAGGCCCTCCCAGAAAGGGTTCAGATTCCTCTAGGTCCAACTCTGGACTGGCAGAATGGGGAGTGGCTGGAACAGCTTATGGGCCAAGGGTAATATTTTGCTCCAGTCTCTGAGTCTGAAAATAAATATTTTTACCAAGCTGGCAGTGCCAGATCCCTGCATTTCCCTGGCTTCCCCTCCCCCAATCCAGGGTCCTGCAGAGAAAGCCCAGTCCTGGGGTCAAGAGGCAAGAGGAGTGATGGGTTTTACACCCAGCTGCAGCCCAGGCAAAGTTTTCTTTCCCTTGGAGCCTCAGTTTCCTCATCTGCACAATGGGGGAGTTGTGGCCTGAACTTTCTACGCCCTCTCCCTATTGACTAGACAACATACAATTCCAAGACTTCCAGGGAGACCCCACCTTGGGAATGTGTGCACAAGTGGCTGTAAGTCCAGTCAAGGCCAAGGCCGTGGGCCTCTCGGAGGTCCAGAGGCTGCTGGGCACTGGGAGGGGGGTCAGAGCTGGGCCTGCGCTTGGGGTCTCACTGCCTCGTGAGAGTAGGGGGAGAGAAGGTGTTTGGACTCTAAAAGTTGTAGAGCGACTTCCTTTGTGGCCCAGCAGCCTTCCAATGCAAGGGGGTGTGGGTTTGATCCCTGGCCTGGGAGCTAGGATCCCACATGCCTCGAGGCCAGAAAAACAAACCATAAAACAGAAGCAATATTTAATAAGTAAATAAACGTTGTAGACAGAGAACCCTCACCTGCAGTTCGGCATGTGGAAGAGGTGGTGAGGGGGTAGAGCATGAGAAGACAGGAAGGCAGGCGGGACTCTGAGGATTTTGCTGGGGAAAGGTCACGCAGGAGAGGCTGGAGCCCGGGGGGCCTGGAGAAGAAGAACGGGTTCTTGCTGGGGTTGGCTGGACCCAAGGGCTGTGACCCTCTCTCTCCTGGGCAGAACTGGAGGCCGCCACGGTCATGGCCTGCAGCCCCAGGAGTGGGGCTGGGGATCTGTTTGGCAAACCAGTTTGGCAAGCCTGTCTCCTCCGTGATGTCATCCAGCGGTTGTATTCTCTGCATGACAGGGTCAGATAAACGTCTGGGCTTGGAGGAGAAGGGGGCCTGGGTCCAGGTGCTGAGGGATGGGGAAGGAGTGACTCTTCAGTGTAGGAAACTGGGAGGCAAGTGAGCCCTGGGAAGGAAAAGTGGGCCTGAGACACCCACTGGGCTGTGATGAACCCCAGGAGACCAGCCTCACGGACAGAGGAGAGGGTTCTGGTTGGGCCAGCCTGGACTTCCTGTGACTTCCGGGAGTTCCCTGATGCCTGGTGTCATCTAGGCTTATCGCAGGGGCCCAGTATAACTGCTGGTCAGTGGGTTGGAACCATGAAAATAAATGAGTGGTAGTTTTATTTTTACTACGAACCTTATGACTTGAACCCCGGGAGGTAGAACTCCATCATATACGGAAGAGGAGACAGGCTCAGCAAGGCCAAGTCACACCAGCACCTCGCACAGGATTAGAACCCAGAACCCTTGATCTGAACCACAGTACCCTGCCACCTACCATCGGGATCTCTGCCCACATGGTGCCTTACATGTTTCTTAACTGCTTGTGAGCACAGCAGCTGAATCACAGCGTCACAGAATCCTAGATGCCCACCTCATGGTCTAGGTCAGTATTCAGTCCTAGAGAGGCCAAGGAATAGGCTTCAGGTCACACAACAGTTTGGAGGTGGAACTACTCCGTACCCCAGATCCTCACCCTCCCCAAATCCTTGTTTCTCCCTCCGGGCCTGGCACACCCAAGCATGGAATAGTAGTAATTAGCACATATGGAGTCCCTATATGTGCCATTCGGTCATTTATCATCAGCACAGCCGTGAGAGGTATGTGCTAAGATTATATCCATTTTACAGATAAAGAAGCTGAGGCTCAGGGACTTCCCTGGTGGTCCAGAGGTTAAGAATCTTCCTTGCAATGCAGGGGACACGTGTTTGATCCTTGGTCAGGAAAATAAGATTCCACCTGCCGTGGAGCAAGTAAGCCCATGTGCCGTAACTCTAGAGAGTCCGTGTGCTACAATGAAGGATTCCACATGACCCAGCGAAGATCCTGCATGCTGCAATTAAGACCTGACACAGCCAAATAAAATAAATGAATATTAAATAAAAGAGAGAAACTGAGGCTCAGAGAGGGGAAGTCATTTGCCCAAGTTAACACAGCATGTTGGTGGTAGGGCTGGAATTTGAACCAATTCCTTGGTGGACCCAAGAGGCCTCACTGGAGGTACGAAGACCTCTGGACAGGAGGGTGGATGGCCCCTTTGCAGGCTCCCAGGTAAGCGGTGTCCAATTTATAGTTTCCACACAGGCCTGGCCTCCCTGGGGCGGGCAGAAAAGTGCTGAGGCTGTAGAAATGCTCTGAACCTTCCCAGAGGAGGCGGCCACGGTGGGAGGGAGCGTTTGGTTCGGACCT